GCTTGTGCGGGAGTTGACCCAGTTGTCATCGTGGACAGGCCGACGGTCGTTTTAAGAAACTTAAACGAGAGGCGTATGTCAATCGTTTTTATCAATAGATTGCATATTGCGGCGAGTGCGGTATTAACATGATTTTATTTTTTAAATTGAAATTTTTTCACCACACATTGTTTGACGCCGCGCTAAATAGAAGTTCTTGTGCGGAAAGGCGGATGCATAATTTTATTACATTAATAATACCGCATTATTAAACATGTAAATTATTATATTATACTGAGAAGCCGGAAGGTGTGCCTATCAAAAAGACAGTATACGAAATTCAGACCGTTAAACGCCGCCTAAGAATTTAATTATTGAAAAATCCACACTTAATGAGTTTTGATTGTGTTACAAGGTATTTTCTAATTTATTTTTATTTTTTAATGAAACTGGTTACACCATCCGACAAACGTCTAGAGATAACGACAAGGTTTTAATGTTGTATGTTATGTATACGATTAAGTTAAACACTGTGTAGATGAGAAACGCGAGCATCTGACATCTCAGACATACTAGCGCACGTTTCAATTATAATGTTAGTAACGGCAGCATCTAGATTGATAGTATCTGATTGCTATTATTTAATATATCTATCAAGTTCAGCGGTTTATTGATTACAACTTATCTATGTCTTGTTATGGACTTAAGCTGTTCGGCATAGCTACCTTCTTACGATCGACCTAATCTAGATAATCATGGTCCTAGGACCATGCTAGCACAATCCCATAAAGAACATTTTGTAATACCTGAGTATGCATGCTCATAATTTATTAATTCGAATAATGTCTTAATTCATTTGCAATATTATGACGGTATTTTTAATTTAAAAAAAACATTTTTAAAAATAATAACATAAAATAATATAAAATTGATTGTTTTATTATTATAATTATTGTAATTAAAATCATAATTAATTATATGGGTGGGGGATAGGGGTATGAGATAAAGGGTGAGAGATAGGGGTGATAGATTGGGGTGAGAGATATGTTGTATTCACAACGATCAAATTATAACTGAAAAATAAATTCAATGTAATTTAACAGGTCATATTTCCTATAAATTGTTTAAGGCCAGATATTATGAAATCACTAAAATATAAACCAGAAACTTGATAAGTTTACTAGCCACCTTAGGATACTAGCTTGTTAATATACTATTTCATTATCTATAATTCCACCACTACATTTATTCGGTACTTCAACGCGACATGAAAATGCTCTTTCGTGGTTGCAGACTCGGCTGAAAAACTTACTTATAAATTACTAATTCTTAATTCTTAGGTTAGCGAATTCAACGAGTATTCATAATGTATAAATCTTAAGTTATAGATGACATGCTTATAATTGTATCGTGCATTTCTTTTTTACTCAATTGATGGCAATATCCTTATATACAAGTGGCAACAACTATGTCAATTGTTTTTTTTATGATTTATTTTCTATTTCGAAACGAAATCATCTCAGATCTTTTAATTATTTTTAATTTTTAACATGTACATTTCGATACTAGTAGTATAATATAATTAAACTACCTTCGGCATTACTGTTTTAGTCTGGACTGTGTCTGATAATTAGACATCGTCAAAGTAATGAATTAATTTAATTAAATGGACAGGCGGGATAGCTGGCGTTGCAAGTGTTTTTCAACTTTAATACAGAGTTCAGCCTAAGTATTATGCGTTGTTCTCAAGTACTTCCTTATCTGTGCGAATGTACGTCACCGTCGTCGTTATACCGCTCGGCAAACGCTAAATGATATTTGAACTTAGATAAAGTATTCAAACGTAGTAGACGTTTTATTTCCAACCAATGTTGTGTATTGGCATTGGCGACCGAGACGACCGCATAATTAATTCCAAACTGTTCGGGTTCAATAGGTATACCATATAAACAACAAAATTACATAAATAGTATAGTGCAGCGACCAAAGAACGACGGCGCGACGATAGCGATAATTTACCACCTAACCAGATGGTGTAATTTCCAATCACTTTGATGTAACGTTATAGTCTTTTAAAATATTCATCGACCTGAAACGGAACGCAGAAATGTGAAGTATGGGTAATTGATATTTGGAGTTCGGTCTCAGACCACAAAGTAACTTAACCATTTTAGTACAAAGGGAAAAAAATTCTCCGACTTAATGAGAGGTGTTACGGATAATTATTGTATCAGCGTTAACTTAAGTTACTTTACCTGGAATTTCGTCTCCGTTAATATATTATGGTTAAGTATTGCCAAAATTCCAGGTAAATTACCTATCGTTTAATGTTGAGATATTCTGACTAAAACCGGCTGGACATATAACTAAAAACAATGCCGTAGCAAGGGTGGATTAGTCCCCGCCCAAAAAATGTGTTATCCGTAATAATATAAGTGGCAAAGCACGTAAACTAATGACTGTTGTAAAATATATACCATCCCTTAGGCCTTAATATTAACTAGTGCCTTCTCAAAATACATTTCTGGCCATGGTATACTGACGGAAACTTATATAATATATAGTTAGTACTTAGTTCATGTAGTAGTGTTTAAACGCGAACAACCGAGTTAGTTTCCATAAGATTTCATATACGTTTCTCACCGGAAAACTTTTTGTAATTTATTGAATAGCATACCAACGGAAACAATCGACATCCATCATGGATTAGTGTCGTGCCAGGATTACACGACGAAAAATGCAAATTCTTTGCAAAGCGTTTTATAAAACGACCATCATCAGATGTGCCATGGATATCTTACAGGCGCATGTAAGTAGACAGACCGGCGCGCCGGCGGCGTTTCATTGGTGAGGTTTTACCTTTTGCCCGAGAGACCATTGCCTTACAATTTGGTATTATTATTGTTTATTTTACATTTTTGACCCAATTCCAAGCTCGAAATTTCGAGTTACGCCAACACGCGTTCATAGTCTTCGCAGTCTTCTTCTATCATGAACTACGCGTGCATGTATTATTATTATATATATATATATATATTAGTATATGTTATTATTATCATTTTGCACGTCTCTCACACACATGCGTGATACTGTCAATACCGACGAGTTTTCAATAAACTTCGCCGGCAGTATAATCATATTTTTTTCTAACCTGAATTTCACGTAGAATATTATATTTATTTTATCCGCTTGTCCGGGCGCCAAACTTATAGTAGGTATTTATACTAATAATATGTAGGTACCTATAATATATGTGCCGTGTTTCCACCGCATGGCGCATACACGTTTGGTATGACTTATTTCTCTTATTAGTGTTATTACATTTTTGTAGAATCGGCAATGCAACAAAAATACCGTATCTCAAACAAAGACTATGGCAAGGATAGGAAAATAAATACAAATTTCAAGTAAAATAAATAATAGTGATAATAATGTAATTGCATGTCAGTCACCCGCCGAGCGTTATTGCTGGACCGAAAACGAACGCTCAATGTTGTAATTCAATAGGTTTTTTTTTTTTTACGTATTATTATTAATATTATATTATTACAGTTGTTGTTATTATTGTTAAGTACTTGCTACCATATAATAATGATACGTAGAAACTATGTTGTACATTTGTGGACAATTCCACCGTTTGTTGAACTCGAAAATCGAGAGTACTAATATTTAACTATTTAGCGGAATACCTACTTCATCAAAGGCAAAGCACCAATATGTAACTGTTCGTATTGTGTACTCCGTCCAGTGGGCAGTGACACCCAGCATTATCATATTATTATACTTATTACCAACTAAATGTATTTGTTTCATCGGTCTTTCCAATGGTTTTCTACATAATTTTTCTGTATCTCCGTTACAATTTTATAATTTGCATATTTTTTTGCATTTACTCCACCAATAATACTGGCTTTTTGAATCTCTAAAACCTTCAAGGTACTCTTTTTGGACGGATAAAGAATTATCAGCTTTAACTATTTAAAGTTTTACGTTTTAGACTTTAAAATTAGGCATTCAGAAAAAATAATAGGTTACTCCGAATAAAACTATACTTTAAATATACAAGTAGTAAATGTAGCTTATGGGCCTTAGCCCTTACCCATACTTTAGTCATAATACTGTTTATATTTCGAGTAACAATGCTATCATTAAAATACTTCACTATTTCCAATAATAATAGGAGAGTATATTTATCGATTTTTCCGTGTTTCCGTCATAGTTCAAATTCAATTGCATCATTTATTTTAAGCGTCAAATGGGTATTGGTTTTTGGTGGATGATAGTTTAAATAAAAAATAAACAAAGCTAACTAAACAGTGCAGCACGTCTTACTGGTTTTCGTTAGGGAACTATATTCGATTTTTTATGAAAAAATAGTGTAAGCCACCGAACCTAGTCGAAAAAACCCGTTGTCTTTAATTTACGCACAGCCACACAACGATTTTTATCGATCTTCAATGTTTTTCCTTCAAGAGAAAGATTTTTTTTACAATATGTTTTACTTTATTAGTGTCGTTCATATTGCTTATGATGGATTATTATTTATGAATTATAATTGGCGTAATGCCGAAAAAAGCAAATATTGGAAATTTGCCTTTATTCAGAGGGAAAATAAGCGAATTGGCCGTGCAAATTTATATAGGCACCAAGATGGATCATTCTAATATAATATTTCAGAAGATTATGAACGTTTACAATATGTCCGTACTGCCGAGCAAAGTTATTCAAAAGATGAAAATAAAAAATGTTGTCGTAACTGTGGAAAATAAAATCCCTTTGTCATCGTTTCTTTCTACCCATTAAGGTATCAGATCTGATACAGTGGGAATTAAGTAAGTAAGCGCAGCTAGGCACTAAACACGATTACCTAAGTATACACTGTTTACGTTTCTCTTTTATCCAACAGACTGGGTCAGGGTTCGGACAAACTCGTTAGTGTGACTGATATTACACAGGGAATCATTTGTTTGTAGATTCCTAACATATAAATAGGATAAAAACTAGTGTATAAGTTGGCTTACCTCTTCTTCGACTATTTCCGGTCGGTCGGTAGTTGCCGGTACGACCAAATCGCCTACTTCTACTTCGTCGGCTTGACTCGCGGCCGCTGCGACCAAGGCGGCAAAGAGGGCCGCACGCAACAGAGTCCGCACGGTCATTACGGAAAAACCCCGGGGCACGTGATACCGTCACGACCGTTCCACCGACATCCGATGGTCGTCTCCCGTTTCCGGTATCTAAAATATACAAAACAAACGTACACAAACGTGAGTAGGTAATATAATTATTAATTAATAAATATATAAATCATACACGCGAGATGCAAAGTCCAGACGGTTTTGATGTTTCAACTGGACAGTTACTTGTACACCTCACACGTAGTAATCTTTAGTAAGTATGGGAGATATTATTTATTTGAATGGTAATAAAACTCACAGAACACAATCCGCGACACGACCAAAACACCGTGCCGGCAGATTAACTACTAAAAAGACGTGAACCGCACGTCTCGAGACGTTATCGCCGCTTACAAGTCCATGTGCCAGCCGAGCTACTTTTATGCAGGTATGCAAAGTGTTTTTGTAACGTTAAAAACAAAAAGACCATGCAAAAAATGTGTGTCAGATCTGCAGAAGAATCGGCTGCACACGACCCGTGCCCAATGTCCGTAGTCTATAAGACTGTACAATACCAACAGTTGTGTTCTATCCGTTTGTTTTATTATTTTAAAAAACTAACATTGAAACTTTTATAAGTGTACGTTTCCATTATTGTATTAGTACTAAAAAGAGAGAGAGAGTTCAAGGACAAGCGTCGTCGACATTGTCCTCAAAGCAGTGTACGTGCATAATATTATATTTTAACTTCTTCGGACGCGTATATTCTAAGCTTTCAGACTGTTTAGTGACGAACGTTAATGGGCTACACACAGACATAACGGTCAAAGTTCATTGTGTACAAACGATACGCCGAATGCATACGTAAACTGATGTTTTATTGTTCTCAAACGTCATCTTCTGTGTAAAGGGGGCGGCACCCGTACCTAACAGTGAACTCTCGACGAAAAAATGTTTTACTACAAATTATTTTATAGCTGAAAATAGCTATAAAATTAAAAAAAATAGCTCATAAATATTTTCAGTTACATGCCCCATACATTTAAGCAGTTGCGCGAAAAATAAAGGCTTAGTTTCTCCCCAACAAATGACTTTAAGCTGTCCTAGAAAGTAATCTAGAATTATCAAACAACCAAACCTCTGAGATTCTTCTCTGAAGTTTCAGTTCTCGACTTTTCAACTTTCGAAAAGTAGGTTCATGCGTGGTATGGTATTAATATATTTAAGTGCAAGTGTGTATTGCGACTAACGCCATGAAAATATCGCAGCCTAGCCGGTAGATTATACCTAATGTTAAAAAACACTCTTTACTTGGGGTATCTAAATTCTAAATCTTTTTAGACAAATTTTTATTCGCTATTTATATTATATACCGTACAATAATCTCGGTTAAAAGAATTCCCACCACCTAAGAGAAAAAGTCAGTATGTGTTTGAATGTGATATACCTATAATATTAAGCCTGTACTAGCTTTTTGGTTCATTGTTCATCTCGGACGTATGGCAAAAACTGTAGAGTCTAAGTCACATGCGCATTATTAAAATACATATTACTCATTAAATTAAACTACAAGTAACCAAACTCTTTTCAGTCGATACCGGAGTAATACAAAAGCACTCAAATGGGTGAATGAAGTAAACCGTAAGAGTATATTAATTTTTTTTATTGGGCGTGAGTGTTCGGTGTAAAACCGATGAGGCCTACTGTACTTATGTGTCTATATACTCGACTCGCTGACCCATAGCTACTGTTTAGGTGTTACTGTTGGCGTCTATTGTTTATTGTCATCACTGACGAGGCTACGGATTTTCAAGAATTGTATTTTGGACCCACGACCTACTTAGCATTCGCATCCGAGTGGTCAAAAAAATCATAACGACGTTCTTCGCGCGCAATAACGTACTCTACAAGCAGCGTTATCGCGGTTAAGTCCGTTTACTATTAATGTACTTTTTTTTCTCACTCAGTCGCATTACGTGTCGGCAATTCGGGACACGTCTTTTGTCACTACCGTTGCCGCCGGCCGTCGAAGTCACCGACCGTAGCGAAATCTCAGTGATCGCGTAGGATAATATATTTATATAGGTACAAGTGGTATTTTGTCACCACCGTCCGACACTGAATAGTTCTCAAATTTCAATGGATTCCACCCAGACGTCAACAAAAAACATTACTAAATGTAATACTACCGTGTACATCTTTTGCATTGAAAAATTATTAAATATAGAACATATTATACTTCCCAGAGCATTTTATTTTAGTGTTAGAGACTTGTACGGCTTGGCTTTGGTAAAATAAATAAAAATCATATTAAATAAACATATATATTGTATCTTTTTTAATTTTTAATGTTGGTAATAGTAATTTAACTGAAAATAAAAAAAATATATAGGTTAAGTGTTTTGACAATGTTATTTTCTACAATTCTAGATGAATAAGTAAAACATATTTTATAATATGCAACGATTATGAATATTTAAAGTAGTAGTCAGGCCGCGTGACTCAAATACCATAGTGTGACAAAGTCTTAATGTGATACCGTGTAAAATCGAAAAAATTGTTATTTATGATCGTTAATGACGACTCGTAACAAAATTATTTTAATGTCCCATCCCATTAAGCATCAGCTTCCACGCATTATATTATGCAGAACCGTTGTTTATAATACACCATAATACCATCTCTGTGTTTGCAATCTAACAATAATGTATTTTTTACCGCAGGATGATGTCACGCGTTAGCTTGTTAAGAAATTACTGATCTGCTAATATTACGTCAATAATCTGTATACCTGATGATTGCGAGCAGTCGTAGCGTTTATCAGTCTTGAGTTAAACAAATATAGTGCACTTGTGATATATTATTTTTGCAATTATTATCATAATAATTAAACCAACGCGCAGCACCATCTTACCACACTGAAATAAATGTATGAACTTTGATGTTTTGTGATAATTTCATTTGGTCATTCTTACAATAATCATAAATCAATTCTTATTTATATGTTTAGCTTAGGCAAATTTTAAAAGTGCTTAAAATGTATAGGTAACAAAATTATGTACACTCGTCTAGAGTCTGTGTGTGTAATAGAATACGATTGGTTTGTGTGCAAACCAAGATAGTAAATGATGGCTTTCCAAAAATTGAATATGGATTCACCTCTCTTAGATATAGGTACAGTCTCTAAGGTTGAAATGCACATGAAAAATGTATCTATGACCATTAAATACCTTATAATTTATGTAATTTTATATAATGACATATGAGATGGCTTGAGAATGTTAAAAAAAAGTAGGGAAATGAAATAGTAAATACCGGCAGAAAGATTTAGTGTTAGAGGAAGACCAAAGAAAAAGTGAGTGGACAATATAAATAAATCAACACAGAGATTAGTAAATAAATATAAGAGATTTGCGGAGAGAGGTTTCGGTTAACCAACCCCATTTGCATGGGGTTAAGCCTTAAGGTGAAAAAAAATAAGACATTTTTTATACTCGCGGAGAAAACAGTCGATTTGCACGTAGTATTTTATAGTAAAACTGTTTGAAAATTAATTTTCATAGCTTCAATGCACAACTATACCATTTCTATATTAGACAATAGTATTTGCGGGATGTTACACAGACAATATAATATCCGCACAAATCAGGCGATAAAAATCAAAGAAGAGTTCGCATGCCGCGGTTACAAGCGTTTTTCTTTTTTTCTATTTTATTTATTTTTTAATAAGTCGATCCCATGTTTTTGTTCACGCGTGCTCGTTGGATTACATCACGACCGTATACGCATTCATAACCTCGCTAGTTCGATCCCATGTACACTTTGTGTGTCAACGGCAACAACAGCTAATGTGCCCATTATATTATCCGTTATTTCCGAACACCTCGTGATTTCCTTTGCAGATTCGCCGTGTAAAATCCATAAATGCGCCTATGATATCCAATATTATAATACTTGTATAGTCGCGACACCGGCAGCCACAAATAACAATGCCAATTCGTGCAAAACACATGTAAAACAATTTACATTTTTTTCTTCATATGTGTATGTAGGTATACAAGCATAATCCTCTCGACACGATAATGCAAATTACAGAAAACACTGGGCCAGAACGCGGCTGTGGTCTTTCGCTCTTGTTTTATGTACTTCTTCAATAATCCGCATTTTTGTGTAATAATAAAACACCCGTGTGACGTTTAAAAAACATTACGGTTTATAGAAAATTATAATAATGGGCTGTTAACACTGTAAACTCTAGACTAGTGTCTGTTAATTAATAATTATTTAATGGCTGGCAAAGATGAATTAACAAGGCACGTTATGAGTATATTAAATACATAATAGACGGAAAAGACTAATTTTGGCTGGGAAACCACATAATATTTTAATTATTATTGTTATATAAGATGTCTAGTCCGTAATAATATCGAGTGTGTAATTTTATTTAGTGGTGTATAATTAAACTTGTTAATTACACAGTAGGGAATAACATGCATAGTATGTTATAATAAGATAACGTCTTAAATATTAAGTAATAAGTAAGTAATAGAACATATTCTCAGTAATAAACCATGTGCAAAGTAAAATACATTTTTTTAGCAAAAATTCACAAATTTTCTTCATCGTACAAATTACAATTTATATTATATCTCTGAAACCATTAAACATAAACAATAGGAAAGTGATAAAGTAGGGTTAAATAGGTAAAATTAAAAACGAAGACGAAAATTTATGATAAGTACAAAAACTGTAAAATAAACTCCAAAAACATAATGATTGTTGCCAGAATAAAAGTAATTACCTAAGTCTATCTTTTAAGAGAATGCACACTAGCCAAAAAATATACTATGTTAAACCTTTCTAGATAGATTTCATTATAACATCTGTTTATTTTTAAGTATATATTTTTCTTATTGCTAATTAATTTTACATAGCACCCTAGACATTTTAACTGAAAATCGATAGTTCATGTAAGCAATGTTAGCCATTTTAATCCATCCATTATTATCTTTTTTCTAAAACTTTTTATAACAAATACAACTTTAAAAAATATAAGTAATAATTAGTTTTTCAATATTTTCGACCTAAATTGATATTATTATACATTGTTATTATAGTAT